CAGCAGTTCCAAGTTAGTAATGTATACAGTGCAGCTCTTCAATAATTTGATTTATCTCCAGGATAAATATGCATTTCCCAAATACTTTTGGTTTTGGTATCTACTTATTTATTTATATTTATCAGAGTAATGGACGGGTAATGTTATGGAGCACATTTTCAAATGGTCTGTTCTGTGAAATCAAAGAGAGAGACAGCAGAATATCTGAAAACAAACAAGTGTGTTGCCAACTAAAGCTTACTTTTATAAAGGCAGGAAGTTTACTTGAGAGTTCTTTCAGCTCTCAGCGCTATGCATCTTTAATTCTACTACAAGTCAATACTTAAAATATTTTGACTTTGACTATGCCTAAGGCATCTGACTGCTAATCAGAAGGCTGGCAGTTCAAATGTACTAGCCACTCCTCAGAAGGCTGATGGGGCAATCTACTACCATAGTGATACCGCCTTGGAAACCCAAGAGGGGTCATTATGAATCGGATCTGAATCAACGGCAGTGAGTTGAGTTCAGTATACTGTAATTAGTATTCATTCATGAAATCAATATTCCATGAATATTTACTATCATGTGGCACGGGAGATTCACACAGCATTCTCACCAGGACAAACCTCACCATCTAGCTGGAGAAATAACACACACACATACAAATTAAATAACTAGGCTGGAGTGTTTATTGCTTTCTTATATACCAACAAGAGATCACTTCCCCTCAGGACAATGAGAGTTAGCAATCCAGTCCCAGTTCTGTAAGACCAGAAAGTTCCACCACAGGGGCAGAGCCAACCAGGCAGATCCAGGCTGAGCAAGGTAAAAGCACCATACCCCAACCCTTCTATTTGCTGAAGCAACGGCTGGAAATAATCATCCCTACCATACCTCATCAACTTGATGGCAACAGATTACTGACATGGTCCTAATGTACTCCTCCAAGATAAAAAGTCGCAAATGGTGATTTCCTTGCAACCAACGTACTTACAGTCATTGTCAACCATTCTAACTGGCATGGACCAATGTGGATAATAATAATTGTTGTTGTTGTTGTTATGTACCGTTGAGTCGGATCTGACTCATAGTGACCCCTCCTTGGGTTTCCAAGGCAGTGTCACTACAGAAGTAGATTGCCCAACCTTCCTTCTGAAGAGTGGCTGGTGGGTTTGAACCACCAGCCTTCTGGTTAGCAGTCAAATGCCTCAGGCACTATGCTACCAGAACTCCCGATAATAATAATATAAGCAAAATATATAATGATAAGCATAATTTATATGGAAGAAAGGAGATAGAAGTATAAAAACTTGCTGATGCCAGACTGTGAAAGACCTTGGCTACCAAGTGGAGGCCTGGACATTACACAGGTAATGAGGAGGTCCCAGAGATATGTCAGTGGGGGTGGGAGGGTAAAAGCAATACCTTCACCCTTCACTGCTGAAAACAGGTTTTGAAAATTCTTCCTTGGGACATGCTTTCAGGGCTCATGACTTTTTTTTTAATAGATAAAATTGTAAAATATTTCTTGCCACTTTTCTCTACTTCAAAAGAATTTTTCACTACTTTTGCTTCCTACAGTCAAAACTAGGAGCTCTAGTGGCGTAGTAGGTAAGGCATTTTGGCAGTTAATCAGAAGGTTGGAAGTTCAAACCCACCAGCTGCTCCACGGGAAGAAGATGAGGCAACCTACTTCCGTAAAGATTTATAGCCTTGGAAACCCATGGGGTTGCTAGGAGTCGGAATCAACTTGATGGCAGTGGGTAGTGGGTGGGTACAGTTAAATCACCACAGGTTTCACAGGTAAGGAAAACAGGTCTCTAATTTCTAGCTTCATGGATAAAGGAATAAAAGCGAAAAGTTAAACATAATTTAAACTGACAAGAATGTTAAATCAGGCATTTCATTTGAAACGCCAATGGAAAAGGAGATGAAAATCAGATTCTTCAGCACACAATGTAACATTCTAGAGATTCTAGAAAACCAAAAATAATACATTGGTATAGTATTTTTAGGCAGCAAAAACGCTAAAGACACATTAGCAAATGAGGCTTTGATTGATGAGACATAAACTGAGAACTTAAACCAATTAATCTAAGTTTTCAAGAAGATTTAGATCACAAGGAAAAATAAAACTAAAAATAATTATGTGGTTTCAGGAAAAGCAAGTCATGCTGCAATAACTTCACCACATTCTTTACAATTGCTCTGCTATAGTATGACAATCCCTGGAGGTTACACTAATATCACATGAATAGGGTTTTAGGAACATAGAAGGATGATGTCTAAATTGCAGAAACTTGAAATTAATGGAAAGTTGGCTCAAGGGATTTAAAACTTGCTGAAGCACATAAAACAATTGCAACTATATAAACCACTATCTGCTCAACTTAAAAACGAGCTTTCAATAAAATATGTGAGCAAAAAAATATAATCATGCTGAAGACATAAAATTTTAACATAAACTGAATGATTTCTCTACTGTCAAGCTAAAAGTTACTACACAAAATATGTGAACATCTACACTGTCATTATAAAGTATGACATCTGATGAATTATCACTTATCTTTTTCTTGAAATATGACAATCTAGCACATGCATAATACTATAATATGCTTTTATGGCCTCATTTTTTAAAACCGCTGTTCAACTATATGACTGCACAGAAAAAGTTGCTCATACAGCTCTGTAGGAGCTTACAAGTGATACAACAAAGTCCTCAATGATCTTCTAACCAGTCTGCTTAGAATCATAAAACTTGACTAAAAGAATTATATCTGCTTGTGGAAACATGATGCTACTTGCTGATATGAAATGAGTTGAAAACTATTTTATCATAGAGTCTTTTTTTAATCCACAGGGCATATTACTTGCACCCTAATGCTGGCTGGCTTTGGAGGCCACAAGACCATCCGGTGCAGTTGGGTAGACCTTGTTATGGATGCAGAAGACCTATTCTAGTCAAAAGCCCTGTTAAGAATTTCAGGAAATCCAAGACTAAGGCTCCTTCCCAGGGCAAAGGTTCAGCAGACCCACCTCTGACAGGATACAGAAATGAACTCCCCTAGGATTAACTACGTAGCAATCTGTTTGCATTTTGTGCTTCCCGACCCTCACTTTTCAAAATATACAACCATAATGGGGCATGTACTAGGACATGTGAAGAAAGTAGCAGCAGTGAGCCATGTGACTAAAAGCTGTGAGGGAGGACACTGCTTATTAAGCAGACTAACAGGGGACACAGCAACACAGGGCAGCAGCAAAAAGAAAGGAATGAGCTAAAAGAAAATCGAAATTCCGATACTTACTTTACAGCACCAGCAAATCATCTGAATAGTTACAACTTTCTAGGCTCTACAGTGGGAGAAGTCATATATTATTACTACTACGTCTGTGGCATTTAGAAGCACTGCTTCTACCAGGTGGCAGAAAACAGCCTAGTGCTTAAACTCATGACACTGACCACATACCACTGGGATGGTAAAGGGAAGAGAAAAGTCAATAGGTATTAAGAGATGATAATTAATTCATTTATGAAATCACAGTATCATACATATACTGTTAACTGCAATATGCTAAAAAGCGATTCAAAAATAAGAAATGCTAGTTCCTGAAATTCTCCCGATCTTCATCATTCTGTAAGCAGTGGAGGTCAGAAAGAATGTCTTAATCATCATTTAGCCTCTGCAGCAACTCTGGCATCATAAGAGCCAAAATTATCCAAAATAACCTAAAACTTTCAGTAATTAAAGTTCAAGCAACAGAAACTGATGAAATAGAAGGACACGTGGTACCCACTGTCATATAGTCAATTCCAACTCATAGTGACCCTACCGGATACAGTAGAACTGTCCCACAGGGTTTCCAAGTCTGTAAATCATTTTTCTTTTTGTCTTTGCTTATTTTCATCTTTACTCATCATTTTTTTAAAATTTTATTGTGATATGGATGAAATTTTACAGAGCAAATTCATCTTCCATACAGCAATTCACATACACTTTACCTCATGACATTGCCTGCAATTTCCCACGATGCAATAGCTCTCCTCCCACCTCCTTCCCATAGCCACCTCTTCCCTGTGTCCTTCCCTCCATGCACTCCTGCCTCCTGAGCTGCCTCCCTATGCATACATAACCCTTCTATTTTCCCATGACTGATCTCTCCAAGGAGTGTGTCTACTTAATGTAAGTGTTCAGCTCATATGCCTGTCCTTTGTTTGGCTGGAAGCCACAGGAGTGGGTTCAGTTCCAGACCTGAAGGGCAGCTAGGGGCCCTAGCTCGTCTCAGGGGTTCCACCAGGCTCTATCAGACCAACAATCCAAGTCTGTAAGTCTTTATGGAAGCAGACTGCTACGTCTTTCTCCCACAGAGCAGCCAGTGGGTTTGAACCATCAACCTTTGGTTAGCAGTTGTGCACTTTAGCCACTATGCCACCAAGCTCTTTTCTTACATTCACAGTAAGCATTGGTAAATAAGTACTGAACTAAATTTTCTGTCTGAGCATCCCTGTTTCTTGAAATGTCTCTCTAGTGTTTTATCTCTTCCTCCCTCAACCTTTACCTCTTCCCTTTGCTTGTACCCCTCTATCACTGGGGCTTACCCAGTAATGTAGACAATATGAAGTATTATTATGTTGTATTTATTAGAACAGAGTTTTAGGATCACTTTTTTAATCCAAAAAGAAAACATCAGGAAAACTATGTTTTTTTCCTCTAAAATACTTCACAATAAATTAAGTTACAGGTAAGAAGCCATCAATAGGGAAAAAAAGTTCTATAACTAGAGTTAAAGATTTGTTGCTTTCTGTGGTAGTAAAACATATATCTATATATAGATATATAGATATAGATATAGATATATAAAGTTAATTTCTGGCTTTTTTTTTTCCTGTTAAATAAATCTAAGAAACAAAATTTTCCACAATTGGCTACAAAAAGTAACATAGAGCTATCTTAGTTTCTACAGACATTTATTTTCAAAATAGGCAACTAATGTTCAATGGAATAAAAGCTCCATACTTTTCATAGTGCCATCCTCTTCTTCCTCATCCTCATTGTTTATGACCATGGTGCCCAAGTCCGATTCCAACATCGTGCTATTATGCTCAATCATGGTCTGGGCCCCTTCACTCATGGTGCCTGTGGCCCGCATCGTGCCCACGCTTTCTGAACTGGTCTTCACCATGGTGTGAGAATCCAGCTCGTCTTCATCCTGCAAGAAAACAAGGCAATGAAGGGAGACCCTTCTAAGACAGCTGCAGTTCTTAATTCTTAACAACAGTAGAACACATTTTTAATAATGAAAACAAAACCATTATTACTATGAATTTTAATATAAAAACACAATGCAAATATTATTCTAAGAGCCAAAATTATCCAAAATAACCTAAAACTTTCAGTAATTAAAGTTCAAGCAACAGAAACTGATGAAATAGAAGGCTGCTAGTTGCTTGTAAAGTGAGAATTTAGATAAATTATCAATAAATGCGTATCAAAGAATATAATGACAATAAAAGAATTGAATATATAAAAGAGAGCACATTAAAGACAGAATATGCTGGCACTCTCCATTTTAACAAGCATAATAATGTTTATAACCTTGTACAGCAGCCATAAACTTTTCAATGCAAATTCATAGAAGAATCAACTTGGCAATATATGAACCAAAAAATGTTTTCTAGAACCTTCACAAAAAAAATATACTGGAATAGGATCATAAAAATAAACTAACAAATGCTGTTTCAGAGACTAAATCTGCTTTTTGGAAAAACTTGTTATGCACTGAAATTCATTTATATCTATTCTACTTTTTTAGAAACAAACAAAAACCCTAAATCTCATTCTAGTAGAGGTCAAAATGCAAATGTGGAAAATAATTTGTCAGCATTTAATCTCAGCAACTTAGGTGACTTGTCATAATAGTAGTCAGACAGACATGTGATTAAAAAAAAAAAAAAGCACAGGCAAGAGTGTTTCACTCTTCTCTCATGACTTGCTCTCATGATTTTTAGAGGACTTCTTCACTGTCATGCCCTCAACTACTATGACGTTGAGGACTCACAAATCCCCAAATCTTTCAATATTGTTACTAACTACTTAAATGCTTAACGGCTTCTAAAACTCTACATTCCTAAACCAGACAGCATTTCATCTATCTTCTTGTTCCCTCAGGTCTGCCACATCCCCCAAACCCACCACCACAAAGCACAGTAATCTTCACTATCTTCTTATATCCATTCTCTTTTCCATTCTCCATATACAGTCAACAAGCTCTTCTTCTTTGAAACATTTTCTTAGCTCCATCTTCTCTTTTCTATTCCCACTGCTCCTGGGTAAGTCTCTCATTACCTCGGACCGAGTCAGTGTAGGTAACACTTCCTGTCTGAAGATTCTCTCATCTGATAAATCCTGGCTCTAACCATCTAATAGGCATAAGACCTTTAGGCAAGTTATTTAAACTCATTGACTTTTGTTTCTTTCACTGGTATTATGGTTACTAAATGAGGACGAGTATGCAAAATGCCTGCATACTACTGGAAACAAGGTAGTTTACTGCCTTCCTCAAAGTACACAGAACTAAACTAATTTTCTTTAAAGACAATTTGTATCACAATATTCTCCTACAGAAGGATCTATAATGGCTTCCAGTTCTCACCTATTTTAAATCTAAATGTTTCTACCTAGATTTTAATGTCCTTTATGTGCTTATGGAGAAGAATGCTGAAAGTACTGTAGACTGCTAAAAGAGCTAACAAATCTGTCCTGGGAGAAGTGCAGCTGGAACGCTCCTTGGAAGCAAGAATGGCCAGACTTTGTCTCACCTACTTTGGTCATGTTGTAAGACGGGACCATTCCCTGGAGAAGGATGTCATGCCTGGCAAAGTGGAGGGACAACAAAACAGGGGAAGGCCCTCAATGAGATGAATTGACACAGTGGCTGCAATGATGGGCTCGGGTATAGCAAAGATCGTGGGGCTGGCACAGGACCAGGCAGGGTTTCGTTCTGCTGTACATCTCCGACTCGAAGGCACCTAACAACAATATGTTCTTACCTTATTCTATCTGACCAATCATATTTTCCCGTTGTTCACATATCCTCCAATGCAGTCAGGCTAATACTGACTGAATCTCCATCCCTCATAAACCCATGCCATGCTCATTAAGACTTCCTCTTTGCTCACGTCTTCTCCATCCAGCATGCCCTTCTTCCTCTATCCATTTAACTAAATCCTACCTAGTCCCATATCAAATGTATTACCTGATTCAGTCTTTATTAATTATCCCCTTCTTCAAACATCTGTAGCACCTATAATTGGCATTACACACCTTTGCACTTAAAAGTTACGGTCTCATAATGTGGGTAATGGGCCTGTAAAATCTTTTCTAAATAAGTACTTTTCAGACAAAAATGTCTTAAAGTACTTTTGAATCCACTGAAGTGTCTCATTCAGTATTAAATACACAGTAAGCATTCAATACATATTTGTTTTTTCATTGAGTTATAAAACCATGGGCCTTTACAGTTAGAAAGAAACTAATTTAATCCCTCACTTCATATTTCAAAAAAATTGAGGCCCGTGCAAAGTAGGGGTTATACACCTACTTGAGAGTAGAGGTGGGACTACAAACTAGTTTACATCTTAGTCCATCATTTCACTAAATACACGTACCTTATCTACATTTAAATTGTGATCAACTCGCATGCTTATGTTACAGATGCAAGCTTACAGCTGTAACAGCTTATGTCACCAGCTCCTATCCCCAGAGAGTCCCACACAAAGTATTCAGTCTATCTTAATCCAGCCACCATCTTCTCTCACCTGGACCAATTAATAACACAGTTTCCTAACTGTTTTCATTATTTCTACTCTTGCTCCTTTAGTATTCCACAGAACAGGCAGATTTGATTCTTTCAAAAGATAAATCAGATCATGTTATTCTCTGCTCAAAACCCTGCATTTTGTCTCCCATTGCATTCAGAATAAAATCCAAATTCACCATGGCCAGATGTGCTCTGGCCCAGTAACACCTGCCAATTCCATCTCCTATCACATCCCTGCTTGCTCCTCCAGCTCCATCCCTGCTGGCCTCCTAGGCTGTCTCTTTAGCACTCTAGGCATGTTCTTCCTTGAGCCTTTACATTAACTGAGCCCAGTCTGGAATCCACAAGACAGCCTGATCCTTTACTTAACTCAGGTCTCTACTTAGATGTCACCTCTTCAGTGAGGCTTTGTGACCACATGCATCATCGACTGGCCTTATTTACGCATATATTTCTTTATATATGGATTATCTCTACCACTGGAAAGCAAGTTTGATGAAGACAGGAGAATTACTTTTTCACTGCTTAATCCCCAATGCCTAGAACATGCAGCATATAGTAGGTGTTTGATAAATATTTGTTTAATAAATCAACTTATGTTTTATCTTATTAACTCAACAAGCATTGATTGTACATTTATAATGTGTCAAGGAGTATAAAGGCATTAGAAATAGAAAGACGGTAAGACACAGTTTTGTTCCGTTTTGCTTTTTAAGGAGCTTGAGATGTAGGAGAAATAAACTAACACATGACCAATAAATCACAAGACAGCGTGGGTGCTGTAAGAGCAGTGCTGACAAAGCACACCACGAGTGCCAAGAGCAGAGCCTCTAACTGCCTCTCACACAGTGAGGCAGCCCTCACGCGAGGAGGTCTTACACGATGAGCAGACCACACATGTAACATATACACATAAATTTGGGTGTGATATTGTGTATTACAGCTTCTTTTTATATCAGAACTAAATTCAGACATCATTTCTCAGCTCAAACACCCCAGGACTGAGTCAGGTGCCATGCCTTTGTATTCCTATAGAACCTTGGGTTACACTCATCAAACACGTACTACACAAGAATTGTCTAACCCCATTAGACTCTAAAATCTGTAGGTGTAGTAATCAGATCTTGTTACCACAGTTATATTCCTGGTATTCAGTACAAAGCCTTGTCTTCACTACATAATTTATTAAATGAATATAAAACCCCATCATGAGGCAGTGACAAAGCACAGAACCAAGGACAATGGTATGCAAAGTTCTAGTGTCCAACTCTATTTAAACCAACTTACTATTTTAAAATATAAAATGGCTATCAAAGAAATTCTGGGAAGGGAAAGCCATTAACTAGAATTATTCAGCTGATTATTCATTTGATAATGATGAAAACAGTTATCCTCAACCAGTTAGAGGCACTATGATAAGGGCTTTTTATAGGATACCTCCATTTAATGTTCTCACTAACTCTGTGGGCCATTATTATCTCTATTGCACAAATGAACCTGATGCTCAAATGTCATTTAATAAATTGTCCAAGGTCATACAACAAATAATTGGAGAAGAAGGATTCTACTCAGGTCTGTCTGATTCTAAAGCACAAGGTCAAATTTGCAAATATGTAATAAGGCCTTTAAATTATCTACAGTATTTTCCACATCTAATTTTATATATATTACAAGTTACGTAGAGCATGTTGCCTTTTGCTAACTTAATAGATGAAACACATGAACACCCTGATTTGCCCTTGGTTATAAAGCTAATAATAATTAAAAAAAAGAATTGGGATCTACTCTTTCCTGTAGACTGCACTGAGATGGGAGGAAAAAAGGTTTTTTTTTTTTTCAAATCACAGTTCTGTTAAAAAAAAAAAATCTACTGCTAGTTTAAAATCTTATTTTCTCATGGTTATGACCAGTTTATCCCCAAAACACTCAATCTATTTTTGTATGTGTGAGTCATCTGTCTCTTTATCCCCATAAGATTCAACACTGTGACTATTAAACTTAACAAGAAACATAACATCTGGTCAGTGTGAAACAGTACTTTTAGACTTCCTATGTTCTAAATTGGAGTTCAATCTACAAAGGATAATGAAGCTTGCAACTCTGGATCCATGCAACTGACTTAGAAAATCTATAAAACTGCAAAAACCTTAAATCAAGTTTGGAAGGGATTGCTCTTATTGTGTATTATTGTTACTTGTATAGTCATTTTGCTAAAGGACGTTAATCTAATTTACATATTGATTTTTAAAATAGCAATGAAAAACTCCAGCGAATACTTAATTCACTAACGTGAGGATGGCATCCAAACAGTAATTAATAAAGTACAGATGGATGAGAATTACTTTATAGGAAATGAGAAAACTTGAACACTAATAATTAGGAGGTCTGGT